ATATATATATATATATATAAAATAAATTTTAAAAAAGGATACATAAGTTGAGCGATAAATGTAATATGTGTTAACATGCCATAATGCCAAGGAATTAAAGTAGTTGCATCTAAATTTGTATGAGCCATCAAATTATGAGCATGTTTTGCACCACTGTTTTGTATAAATAATTCTAATAACAACAAAGATCGATGTTGTTTAAATACTATATTTGTTCTTGAATCAGCAAGCTTCAATAATGCTAAACGCTGAACACTAGAATCTAATAATGATTGCATAGGCATTGGTAATGCTGTGGATTCACATATCCATGTTACAACGTAATAAGCTTGCATTAACACTACTGTCCTGGGTGCTAATGATGATTTTATAGAATGTAAAGATCGCGAATCAAACAACTCTGGTCGTAACAATATTATTTGTTGCAAAATTAATAAATTCCTGCAGATTGCGAATCTTAATTGTGTTATTTGTGTTACACTTTTCGATATTGCTGAGATACCTAAATGACTACTAAAAAAGTGATTGATATTAAGTAATAATTTTGAAGCATCATGATCTTCATTAAGTTGTAACTTATTTGGTTGACCAAGATCATATGTTAATGTTTCCAATAACATTGCCATAGCACTGGATATATCTCTAACATTTGACAATCTATGAGAGCTAGGATGATGTGTAATGAAATTACTAATTGGTTCTTCTGATTCTAACATTAGTTTTGATAATAAATCATCAATAATGATATCTGGACTTCTTAAATGATACATTTCTCTCTTTATTGTTATTTTAGTTTCTTCAGATAATTGTTCTTCTATCAATACCAATGCTGACATTATTATAATAAGATCTTGACATATATCCTCATCTTGCGACAAAATTGGTGATATTTTGAATCGCGATGTATACGATTTTTCATTGCAGAACATTAAATATTCCAAAGCTTCCATTGGTCTCAAAAGTGAAAAGCATGACTTTTTAAGTAAAACTACTCCATAAACGGTTGGTAGTAATAACAATCCCACTGGTCTCGTACTATTAGCATGATACTGTATAACACAAGAATAAAATTTTGACCAACATCGATTGGCGATTTCCAAGTAGTCTTCGTCCATAAGTTCGTAATCCATAATTTCAGCCTGTATTTCAGCTTCTACAGCTTTTTCAGCTTCTACTTTTAATTCAGTAGCAGAAAGAATTTTATTTTCTATACAATTAGACCTTCTATATATGTTCAAGGCTTTTGTTATATCTGTCAAAGAAAATTGTCCAGGATAAAAAATATAATTAATATATGCTTGTCTTGGATCAGTATCAGCATCATTAAGAATATAATCTCTATCTGGTGTTTGTTCTAAGATTGCTGTTTCCCATTCAGAATTAACGCGCATACCACTCGATAATGATAATTGTGCATGAGTTACTTCAACTGTATCCATATCAGTAGTTCTCCATACAGCCCATAATCGAGTAGTAGTAAAAAAAAAATCGACTAAATGTTGCTGTAAAGATTAATATAAAAATTAATAACATAATGTATGATAATTAATATAAATATATATAAAAAATACATACATCTGGTGCAAATTTTGTACATAATCTCTTAAATTTAAATACACCATTATCTTGAATCGGTTTTAAAATACAAAATTCGCATCTGGAATTAAATTTTAAAAAAGTCGCCAAGTATAATTCATTATTAGGACTCAACGTTTTTTTTAATATATGTCCTTGTGCACCTTCAGATGCAACGTGATTATCTATTGTTATATCACTTACTGCCACGCATTGAGCTTTATTGCAAGACCACATACGAATATTACCTTCACGGCACAAAGCAAAAAGATATGTATCATTTTCACAATTATGTATAGTTAATGACATAGCCACATGAGCTTCAGAATTACGACCTCTGAAAGCAGTTGCAATAC